AGGTCATTACTAGCATTATAAACGATGACCCAATAGTCTTGCTAAATCCACAGGTCAAGGTGAATTCATTAAATTTTATGGTTTCTAACCATGGTTAAAAGTTAAAAGGTAAAGTTGTGACTACACTAGTGAAAAGACCAATATCCAGACCATTCTAGAATAAATGAGTTCCCTGTCCCCTACAGCACCAAATCCAAAGCCACGTCACCCACTTGGTTTGGTGCTGAGGAAGGCTGCTTGGGGCTTGCGTCCCTCCTGCCACGTGAGGGTTGAAGAAGCCCGTGGTGCTCTAGGCCAGGCGGGTGCTGTGTTGGCAAAGGGACTTGTGGCCCAGATGGTGCACAGAGCACAATAAATGAGCATCTTTGAAAAAGTTCATCCCCTTCCTTTAGACCACTGCCTTAGTCTTCTCTCATCCCACTTGCCTTGTTAATGAAATACCGTAGGTTCTTTTAACAGCAGAATGCTAATGAGATTTTACATCTAGAAAGGAGATTTGTCCTGTTCAAACCACCCAAATCAGGAGGCTCGTGTGTGTGGTCACTTCCCTGTGCACTTTATATAAATGCTTGTGTGTGAGCCTCCAAGGAGACAGAGAACCCGGGACCGGACAGACACAACCATGTCCTTGTGCCCGCTCTGCTCTAGGGTGAGGCAGACCTTACCCAGAGATCATACAAAGGACACATGCTCTGGTGCAACATGGGGCTGACTCCGGAGAACTGCTTTAAGAAAACATTGGCGTATGCTGAGTTCCAAGAGAGGAGTTAGGGACGGGGAGATCGTTACAGCCGGGGAGGTGTGAGGCGAAGCCCCTGGAAACAGAGGGTTGGGGAAGACGAGGTGGCCGGGGGTGGCTGGAACCAGAGAGGGCTGTGCAAGGGCACCTGCCCTGTCCCTAAGATCAGTGGGAAATCGTTGTAGGGTTTGGGGCAGGGACATGTCGCAGTTAGTTACTCATTTCGAAAAGACCACTCAGAGTACAATATTGAGGGTCCTCCAGCCTGGAACGTATCCGCAACCCCCACATTTTCCAGTGAATAGAGACACTGTTTTGGAACTTGGGGTACAAAGAAGAACTCAGATTCTGTGGCACGTTTCTGTAGGTTGTGCTGATGCTACAACACGGGAATTGCTGAACAGGGAAACCACTTGGCTTGAGAGTTATGTTCTGTCTTGACTTTGCTGATATTTGGGACATGAGTCTGTATATCTTTAGCTGAAGTTTAAATATACATAGTTTGTTCAATAAGCACTTAGTGCCTAATTGACATACTTTTATATCATAAGAAAATGGTTTTTTGGTAGGTGCGGTTATCCCGGTGTCTGTGGGGGGTGGGATGTGGGGCTCCCTATGGACGCCACCGTCCGAGGACACCCAAGTCTCTGATACAGAGTGGCGCGGTGTCCGAGTGTAACCTGCGCATATACTTTAAATCATCTCTAAATTACTTATGATACCACGTAAATAGTTGTTATACTGTATTTTTGGGATGCAATGTATTTTCCCTCAGGCCACTGAAGTATCTTTCCCAAATATTCCCAGAAAAGGAGAAAAAGTAGAAGACTTTTCAAAGTTGTCTTCAACATAAGGACAAGGAAAATAAGTGTGTGTATGTTCAATACAGACACTTTTTTTTTTCAAATTTTTTGATCCGCAGTTGGTTGAATCCATGGGTGCAAGACCCATGGACGCAGAGGGCCAACTGTATAACATTTTTTATACAATTGGATTTTAAATTGAATCCATCCTCTTCTGATTAACATAACTTGAAATTTCAAAAAATGCTTTAACTTTGTTTCTGAAGAAGCTTTATTTGGAGTAGACAACTCCAACTGTTTTCCTGCTGGTCCTTTTTGCAACTATCCGATGGTCTGTAAACACTCGGTGGTGCGTATGTGCGTATGTGCGTATGGGCTCTCCCCATGTAAGAGAATGCTGACTGCGTTCTTGGGCAATGTGAAGATTTTGTTAAATACTCACTCCTGAAGGTGCATCTTGAAACTTCAGACTTTGTACCTCAGGGTTTTTGAAGTGCGGAAGCATTTGTATTTTAACTTCCGTCTCCTCTGTGTGTCCTGTGTCCGTGCTCAGACCTACTCCGCTCCTGCCCACCACGGGTACAAGCTAGAAAATGAGGTCCTGGTCATACGTGTTTTTTTGTGAGATATGACCGTAAGCCATTATAACAGAATTGGTGAATTGGGATAATTTAGAGAGAACATTGACTTATTTTTGTTCCGGTTAATATTTAGGTTTTGGAGAATCTTGAGGGAAGGGAATTAGGTCATTCAGCCTGAGACATTCAGTAGGAGCCCAGCGTCTCCAGAGTGTGCGCCTTTGTTAACCGCTATTTTCTTTCTTCGTGCCTTGCCTCTCTCCTAAAGACTGGCTCAGAGACAGCAGTAGCCGTAATTACCACGGCCAAGTAACAGAGAAAAATGGGATCGTAATTTTTCTTTGAAATCTTGAATCATTGCTTTTTTAAATAGACTCAGCTCTGTTTTGAGCGGTGGTGGTTTTTCAGTCTGCCTTTGTTTATTACCAAATTTCAGCCCAAAGAAAACCAGCTGAGAACTTTTCTGTGGCTGCTGCCACGTCCAGCATCTGCCCAGTAACTGCCGTGGTCGGGAGTGTGGGCTGCACTCGCCATCTGCACAGAGAACAGCTGGGCCTCTGCCCAGGTGCTGTGAAAAATCTATTTTTCTCCTTTTCTGGGAGTATTTGGGAAGGACACCTAAGTGGCCTGAGGGAAAATACCTCCTATCCGAGGGGGTTGCCCAAGTCACTCTCCAGAGTTTTCCCACCGTGCTGCTGTAGACAACGTAACGCGGGCGCCAGGCAGGTGTCACGGCTGTGGAAGACAAGGAAGAGGAGAAAACAGACGTGGCCGTGTCTCCAGGAAGCAGCCACTGTGGCAGGTGGTGCGGGGGTCTCACTGGGGCAGAAATCCCTCCTCGGGCTGCTGAGCCAGACGTGGCAGAGCCGGGTGTTTCTTTCGGCTTCAGAGGCACTTTTATCCCCTTCCTTGACCCAACTGTGCAGCTGGACAGGGCTAGGCGCCCCATCTCAGATGTAAAAGCCTACGGGCGTCTGTCATTGGAACTGTTCCAGTGAAAGAACCGTCACTAGATTTAGCCAGTGAGACTTGTACTCCCACTTCCCTCAGAAAGAAAAGAAACTCAAAGAGCACCACGAAGTTAAAACACCCGGCAGCACCATTTACCTTACATACTAAAAAACCACTCAGATCCGTCTCCGTGGGTGGTCGTCTCTTGCTCTCTCTCCTGTTGCTCTGTGGATGTGTTGACATCTTTAAAACATTTTTTTAGCCTTTAACGGTACAGTGATTAATTTTAACGGTTTCCATATTTGACATTGCTTTTGATCTTCTTTTTACTTTGTTTCCCGCTTTGTGCATCTCCCTCCCCCATCCCATTTTACCCGTCGGGTGGTGTGTCTGTGCGTGTCACTCACTCTTGGTCTCTGTCACTGTGGTGTCCTCCCTTTCTTGTCCCCACCCTCCTGCTGCTGTAGCCCCACAGGCTGTGGACACTGGCCGAGCAGGTAGGGGACCTTCCCGCCCGCCCCTCCCCTGCGCCCCATCCCGCCACGCGGTGGGACAGACTAGAAGTTGAGTGCAGAGACTGACCTGGGGTCTGGGGACCCTGCGGTCCAGGGTGCTGACGGCTGGTGATGTCAGTGCGCGGGTATCTCTAGACGCTCCACAGACGCTGTGTTTTCATTGTGCACGGTCAGTGGTTTCTTTGCCACTTTGGGGTCATCTCCGTTTTACTTCATTTTCCACCTGTTTTCTGATTTGCTTGTTTGTTTTTTAACTGACCACCTCTGGGTACATGCCTCACTCCGCATCACACCTGTTCTCCACTCAGCGCTGGTCTGTGACACGGCTTCACGGAGTAGCCGTGGGTAGAAGGGACGCTCTTGCTGCTGTGCTGTCCCTGGAAGCTTCCACCTGCAGGCTGCTGCATGTGCTGCTCTTTTCCTCTGTCTCGGGGGCAAGAGGCCAGTGCCCAGGATGACTGAATAGTATAGTATGTTTTAACAAAGTTGTCTTTGTTTTTTCCTTATATTTCAACAATATAAGAAACTGTGTCTTTAGCACAAAATCGGGATTCTCTCTCGAAGAATGTTAATGTAGTTCTTCAAATAAATTCTGAAGGACTATTTATTTTTTGGCACATTAGTTGTAGGTTCAGTCTTTTCCTAGCCAAGGTATTGTGTTGCCTTCTCAAGAAATGTGTGTAAAATTTCAGTTTGTAACGTAGCCGTCATGATGTTGCTCTTGGATCACTGATCAGAGGTGATTTAAGTCAGTCCCGCATGATCTTGGAAGTGAGTTATGGCACCAAGGTGAGATTTCTGGCCTCCCATGCTGTTTATTTAACAGTCCAGTAGCTCAGACCGCAAGGTCCTGCTGAGCAGACGGTGGCAGGTGTCTCCCTCCCCGACGCACCTCTGCCGTGGCCACCTGAGGCCAGAGCGCAGGACTGGAAGGAACATGGCGGCTCTTGCTCACCTCTCCCTCCCTACCCTGTGGCAGTTCCTGCCTTGTGCTGCCTCGGTGCCACAAGCTCTGAAAACACACCTTTTATCCTAAAGGTGGGTGCATGTGGTGGAAACTCCGCAAATGACGCGTCACATCCCTGGCAACCTGCTTTTGCCAGCTAACCATTTTCTCTCGGCACTTCCGGCTTATTATTTGGCAAAATGTGTGGCATGTCTCTTATTTTTTTACATGTGTGTGGTTGTCGAGCTGTGGGAAAGTCCAATGTTATCCTAATAAGGTGTTCCTTTGGGAATTTAGATTATCAAACTGGAAGTGAGAGATAACTTGGATGGTGTGGTTTTAGTGCTTTTATTTTTATTTTTCGGTTGAAGATTTTACCAGAGACTCGCTTGCTTAGCTAGTAGGACGCCAGAGCCCAATTTCCCTCCACACAGACTTGAGTTAACCACACTGTGTCGTTGCTTTCAGGGGACCTCGGGACCTGACCCGACCACCGTCTATGTGGACATGAGAGCGCTGAGGCACGACAGGTACGGTACGCCTGCGGGTTTTTCCTTTTTTTCTTTCGGTTGCGTAGCACACAGGTCCCCATCTAGGAGGAGGAAGGTCCACAGTGTTTATTTGCTTGAAGTGTAATTATCTACGAATAAAGCAGTAGAGTTGGGCGAGTTGGCTTGAATTTTGCATGTGAAAACTATGTTGCACGGTAGCGGGAGAGTGGCGAGAGCTGCGCCAGCAGCAGCCTCTTGGTTCTTTCCCTTGGCCGTTTTAGTCAGGCGCCATCTTCCCACATTTTACATGAACTGAAATTTTTTGTGAGGCCATGTCCACGAAAAGCTAAAACAGAAGTCAGGTTCCCTTTTCTGTGCGACTTCCTCAGCGGCCCTGAGCACGAGTGACCGGGGTGTTGCTGGTGAGCGTGTGTGAGCGAGGACGGCTCAGGATGGGCAGGTGGTCAGAAGGATGGAAAGACGTTTAGAGGAATTTCGGCCCCAGCAAGGAGGACTATTAAAACGCCCTGCGGGGAAGAAAGACTCCCATGTATTTGCTGCGGACCCTCCCGTGGAAATTGATCGTTTTCTGTCTGGTGGTCGTGGAGATGCCCATCCTTGTTGCTTGCGTGATGCGCGCCCTGTTCTGCAGGGCCTGCCGTCCTCGATGATCAGCAGCTGCTCAGTGAATGTGCTGCTCTGTGCCAGTCACTGCGCTACCAACTGCATTTTCTCACCTCCCGATACTGGGTCGTTACACCACGTAACTCGTGGAGAAGTGGTGTGAGGTAGTCACGTGGCGAGTAGGTGGGAGACGCAGAGGAAACCTGGCCTGACTGCGTGTGATGTGCGCTCCGACGACAGGAGCCGCCAGCTCTCACGTGTGAACGTGCCGGGCCGGGTGAGGAGGCTGAGGAGGGTCCTCGGTCTAACCAGGTTCTTGGCAGGGCGCTCGTGGCCTAGTGGACACCTGGTCGTGTCTGGAGCGTTTGTGATTGACGTGACCTGGGCGGGGACAGGGACGCTGCCCAGCTCCCTGCAGTGCCCAGGACGGCAGCAGTGCCAGGGCTGAGACCACCCTGCACCCGGCCCTGTCCCGCCCGCGGTGGCCGCCTGGTGCCTGCAGCCTGTGTCAGAGCCTCCTATTTGAAGGACTGCATGTTACATGGTCCAAAAATCACGGAAGCCCCTCGCAAGGTGGCTGAGGGCCAGAGAAGGAGCCGAGATCACCAGCACCAGGTAGCGAAGTTCAGTCGGGAACGCTGTCAAAAGTCAGGAACGTAGTTTTATAGAGATTAAATAACTTGTCCCAGGGGCATACAATTTTCTAAATAATAACTGCTGGACTTTAAAGCAAATCTACTCTCTATAAAAATTATTTGGAAAATAATCTTATAATTGTGTAACTTTCTCAAGAGGTGAAAACTAGGTCATCAGAGAATACCTGCGTAA